TGGAGAGGATGCAGTGAAAAGGGAACATGTCTACACTGTTGGTGGTAGTGTAAACTAGTCAACCTCTGTGAAAACAGTGTGGTGATTCCTAAAAGATCTAAGAATCGACCTTCCATATGACCCCACAATTCCCCTACTGGGAATATACCCGGAAGAACTCAAATTGCTTTATAAAAAAGGCACCTGCACATATATGTTTACTGCAGCATTGTTCACAGTAGCAAGAACATGGAACCAACTATGCTGCTCATCAAAAGAGGACTAAATTTTTTAAAATGTGGTACGTATACATGGTAGAATATTACACAGCCATAAAGAAGAACAAAATCATGAACTTCACAACAACCTGGATGGACTTGGAGTCTATCATATGGAGTGTTCTATCACAGAAACAAAGAACTGTGTATCACATGTTCTCACTCATAAGAGGACCTAGAACAATTATCGTAATACTATAAGAAAAAGATTGGCAGTAGCAGGAAACTGCTGGAGGATGGGGGTGGGATGCAGGATTGGAAGTAGTGGGATCTATCAGGGGAGGTGAGGGGCACACTTCATCAACAAGGGCACCTGAATAATGAACATCTGTACACCTAACCCAGAATTTTACCCCACATCTTTAAAATTAAAAAATTAAAAGAAAAATATTGTCCATTCTTATTTTTTAAAGGATATTCAGGGATTAAAATGACTTTGAGTTATGCACAGAAAAGTATTATATGAATCAAGATCATAATAAATTTTTAATTATCATAGCTCACAGAAAAAAAATGAACATTAAATAATCAAAGATTTCCCCCCAAATTCCACCAGTGACCAAAATATGTGAATAGTGTTCACTTAGGCTGGAAAATGTACAGTGTGATTTTCTTGCCAGATATTTAATTAGCAATTTTAATTTGCTTACATGAATTTGACAAATTAATAGGGGAGTAGACGTGCACCAAGATTATAGTATCTAATGCCATTTTCTATGAGAAAAAACCAAGCATCCTTACAGAAGCAGACATTTCTACATTTGTAGGAAAAATTGTATAAGCCAGGGACATCTCAACAGGAAAAAAGGTATGACAATGACTATTGTCATCACGACACACAGCAAAGGAGCCAACTTGACGGACCTTACACTAGCAAAGGTGAAAGAATTTATCATTAAAATAATATTGATTGCAGTTCATTAAAAAACATTATATGTAGAATTATGGTATTTATAATGGTAAGAAAAACACACTGGTCAACATTGCCGGCTACTAATGCACTAATGGAAAATGACTGAGCTTTTAACCTATAATTTCTAAATGTCCTATACTTCAGAATAACCAATACATAATGAGGGAATATTGTTCTTTATAAAAAATACTCACCCTAAATATATTTGAGAAGAATGACAGAATTAGAAAACCACCAACGTGAACTAATGAACCTAAGAAAAGTTATTCAATGAATTCTTAATGCATTAAGAGAAACGCTTAATAGGAAAATTTATAGTGGAGAAATTAGGTTGATCCCACCTGTATCGACTGATAAACTTAAGTATTTATTTAAAAAGGAGCAAAACACTTGATTTTACGAGGTTCCCTTCAAAAGGAAGTTGAAAGCGTCTATCTAAGAAATATTTTTGTCAAAATTCATGTCTAATCACACCTCCATATCCAACTATGAGTTGACATAGAATAGAAGAAAAGTTAATTACATCAAAGGGAGTGATCAGGTGAATGTGGAAATAGAAACATTCTCCTGGACAAGAGAAGTGGTTTCTCCATCATTACCATAGTATGAAAGTGTGAGCTGCCCAGTTAAAAAGAAGTTCAAAAGGAGAAACAAACCATAAAAATGAGACTTTAACTGTAACTTCATTTTGCAAACCAAGTACAACCTATCGTCATGTGTCTGTGAAAAAATTTTTGGATATTTTAATGTAGATTTAATATGGATAATATTAACAGAGTATTATTAGTTTTGATAATGGCATAGTAATTATATGCCCTCTTAAAACCTATTAAGAAACCAAAAAAGTTGGTTTTTAAATATATGTATATTTTTTAATTGACATATAAAGTTGTATATATTTGTTATGTATAACATGTTTTGGAGTGCAAACACATTGTAGAATGATTAAATCTAGCTAATTAACAAATCTGTTGCCACAAATAGTAATCATATTTGTGGTGAAAGCACTTTCCCAGTCTTTGTGTTTTTAAGAACACAATACAGAGGGTGCCCCCAAAAATATGCACAATTTAAGAAAGGAAAACACTGTATTAAAATTGTAATACTCAACACAGACCAAAAGCAAAAGATGCATACAAGTCACGTTTGACTTTTGCAATTACAAGAGGTGCTCAAAGTGGTTACCATCAGCATCAAGACACTTCTGATTACAATGAACTAAAAGTAATACATGGATAACACCGCTTAAAATAATTATACACTTTTCTGGCACTACCAGTATATTGTTTACTATTTACTATCATCACCATTCTGTACAACAGATCTCTTGAACTTATTCCTCCTAACAGACTGTGATTATATATCCTTAAGCAACTTCCAATCCTCTCTAACCACTCCAGGCCTTGGTAACCACCATTTTGGCTTCTACTTTTTTCAGGTCAACATTTTTTAGATTCCAAACAAGTGAAATCATGCAATATTTATATTTATATGCCTGGCTTATTTCACTTGTCGTAATTTTCTACATTCATTCATAAAGTTTAATTATGTTGCTGCAAATGACAGGATTTTGTTCTTTTTAATGGCTTAATAATATTCTAGTGTGTATATATACCACATTTTAAAAATTCTATTTATCTGTGATTTGCATTTAGGTGGATTCTATATCTTGGCTATTGCAAATAGCTCTGCAATAAACACAAGTGTTTCCAAAAACGGATTTTATTTCCTTAGATATGCAAGAGGGTACCTCCCCAAACCAGAATTTATTTATAAAAATTGTATGTTTATTCTTACACATTTAAACTTCAGTTACCTTCAAAGTACTCTCTGTTTGATGCAATACATATATCGAGATACTTTATCCACTGCTCAAAAAAGTTTCTGAATTCATCAATGTTGATGTCTTTGAGTGCTTCTGCAATTTTTTTGTTTCACCCCTTCCATATCAACAAAATGTTTCCCTTTGAGGATTTTTTTTTAATCTAGGGGGAAAAAATCACTCAGTTTGAGAGTGGGTGAATAGGGAGGGTAGGGCACAATGGTTTTATGTTTTTGGTCAAAAACTGCTGAACACTCAGCATGGTATGGTGAAAGAATCAATCATCTGTTTGCCACAACTTGGGACGTTTTTCTGCAAATTGTGATGCAACCTTCTCAAAATTTCCAGATAAAAACTTTTTTGGGAGGCAGTAACAAGATGGCTACGAAGTAGGTCAGACTGTGAGAGTCTCTGCAAAAGCGAGTGTTCATAAAGACTCTCTGCCTGAGTAGGTGTGTGCTGGTGGAGAGTGAAAGTCTGACTGAGGAGAGACTTGGGTTCCTGCACCCAGGGATCTCCTCCAGAGGTGACTGCAACCCACCACTGCCCTGAGATTGGAGCCCCCAGCACACAGAATCATCTGTTGTCCTCAGACCTCGCTTGAAAGGAGGCAGCAGAGAACAACTGCTCTTCACCACCTGGCACTTGGCCCATGCCATCACTTGTGGCAGAACCAGGGATGAGCTCCAACAACCATGGAGAAGACAGAGCATGGAAATCTGGAATGAAGCCCCGCCCGGTGAAGACGTGCTGACCAGAGTCATTTTCTCTCTCCTGGGACTGGACTGAGACCTGCATTGTCCCACCCAGCTCTGTCCAACCTCCAACCTGAGACCCAGATGCTGTCCCCTCATCAGTCTCAGAGAGACAGATGCCCCTCCTCACTGGAATAGGCACTGACACATCAGATCTGAGTGGAAGACTTGAAAGCAGCAGCAGCAAGTCAGGAAAGTCCAAATCTGATCCATCCTTCTCCCATAGTAGAAGTCCATGGGGCATCTGACCCCTGGAGAGCAACCCTATCAGCAGGCATTGAGAGTGGAGGGGAGAAGCTGGAGACCAGAGAAGCGCCTTAGCATGGTGGTGGCAACCAAAAGAAACCTGGAGTTGCAAAAATGACCACAGAGTGAGTTTTGATTTTTTTCTTCTCTCTTTCTGCATTTGTTTATGCTTTTGTATTTGCTTTGTTGCTGTTATTTTAATGTTGTGTTTTTAGACTTTCTGTTTGTGTAGGGGTATTTTTGAGGAAGAGTACATCAATGGGGGGGTTGTTAATTTGTTTGTATGATTATCTGGTTTTTTTTATGTCATTGTTCTTGTTTCTCTGTTTATTTGCTAGTTGATAAGCCTGTCTGTTTTCCCTCTTCTTCTTCACTCTTTGCACCTTTCTTTTGTCTTCCTCCCTCCTTTTTTTCATTCTTTTCCTTTTTCTTACATTATTTTGCTTTCAGGGGGCAAACATAAACCCCTGGAAAGATTGCATGGAAAGATTGCAAAGTGAGAGGAAGTGGGTTCCAGGGTACCCACACACCTGTCAGTGGATACTGGGATTTGCAGATAGTTTGTGAATCACAGCTCCCCCCTTAATTAAATCTCAAAACTGCAAAAAGCACAGTCACCCAATCCCAGTTCAACTTTAGAATTGAACAAAGCCAGAGGATCTACAAAGGAAGAATGTGAGATTGAGCAAACAGAAATAAGTTCTATCCCCGCATCACTGAGCAACACAATTAAAGAAAGGGTTAAAAAAAAAAAACAGAGGGAGGGAGGAAAGCCTACACAAATAAATAAAAACCAAAGGAAGAATATGGGTCTCAAGCTGACCCCTGCAAGGTCAACCACTGAGAATACAGACTTCGGAACAAAACAATGAAGAGCTCCCAGAATGACTGCTCTCAAACCACAAACCCAGATAGCAAGATATTAATAAAGAGACTAAATAGAAATGAGGAAAGACAAAAGGAAACAATGAGAGCTTTGATAATTCTCCTCTCTGTTGGCTTAGGGTTCAGGGGGCCTCAGTCCACAGCACTAGGTGTTCCTCGGGGGCCACACGCAGTTCGTTGTAGAACATGCGGTGCCAGATCTTCTCCACATCATCCCAGTCCCAGTTGGTGATGATGCCATACTGGATGGGATACTTCAGAGTCAGGAAGCCTTGCTTTCTCTGGGCCTCATCGCCCACGTAGGAGTCCTTCTGACCCATACCCACCATAATGCCCTGGCATCGGGGACAGCTGACGATGGAGGGGAACGTGTCTCCAGGAGCATCGTCCTCCGCAAAGCCAGCTTTGCACATTCCAGAGTCATTGTCAATGACCAGCATGGGGATTTCTTCTTCCATCACCATGGAAGATGCGGGGCACAGGAGAACATGGAGTGTGGGCCCGTGGCAGCGAGTGAGCAGTTTGCACTTTAATTAGCTATTTCTTCCATGCTTGATTTTATAATATCAGACACTGGCCATTTGATTATCATATGAACTGTCCCAATGCTGACATGTATTCATATAATTTCAAGATATTACATGTCTTAATAGTATCATAACATCATAAACGTTTTTAAATATTGGTCAACTGTCAAGGTCATGATGATGGATAGACATTTCCCAAAATTCTAGTTTTTCACTTGAAAATTCAAGTTTTATTATTGGCAATTACAACTGCCTTCTTTTTCTTGACACGATTGGATCCATTGTCTATTTTCAAGAAAAATTATCCTAATACTCAAATCTGTATAGGCATGTTTGTCTACCTGTCAGTCTTTCAAGTAAAAGTGGTATTCATTTTTTTTTAAAGCTACTATTTCATCTCACAGCTCAAATAGTTGCACAAAAAAAAATTTTTTAAAGCAATCATCCACTCTGGTTAAGTGACAGAGTTCTTTATTCGAATTTCCAACTTTGTCACCAAAATATTAACGAGTGGTGTACACACAGTCACAGACTTAATGAAGTTAATTATTTTTTCTGCTCCACAAAAACATTCTAAAGTGAAACTATCTTTGTATTTTTAATTTTTTTTTTTTACTGGGGATAGATGTCAGTGAAGTAAACTACAGGTAGAGTTTTGTGCCACTGCTGTGATTCTTCGTCAAGACACTCTCAGTTTTACTCACCACTGCTTCTGCTCCATCAGCAAAAATGTCAACACAGTGAGAAAAGCAAATACAATCTTAATAATATTATCAAATTATCAATTATCAAAGTATTTTTGACCTCACAGTCCCCAAGAGAAACACTAATTTTGTCAAAATTCTCCTTGATTCTCTATCAGATGTATAACTAAAAGGGTCATCAGTAGAAAATGCTAGTGTAATAAAAAATTTTCCCTTCTAATTGACACTTTCCTACAGTCAATATTTTAAAATGTTCAGGCTTATAGAGTTTTGTGTATTTGTTTAAAATTTAGAACTTTGCTCTAAAATTTTAATCTTGAAAAGTTCTTCTCGGAAGATTTATTTCTTGATCTACAATACCATCTTCTAAAATTAATGATTATGGAGGGTTATTTGACAAAAATAATGAAATATTTCTTCATAGATATCATTTGCATACTTTCCACCTAGCAGATTCTTTACAGGAGAAAGCTCCGATATACCCACAGTTTGTGAATTAATGAATTGAGTAACATATCAGAAACTTACACAATCAGATTTTAAAAAGTAACCTGTATCTCAGTGGCAACATGTGGAGAAACTGAGGGTTTGCAGAAGAGTTTTCCTTTTCCTTTGAGTGCCTTTTCCTCTTTGTGGGGAACATCTATGCACTTTCCTGAAACTGACCACTGATTGTTTTTAATTTTTTTTAAACTTATTAACCTTCTTATCATCTCTGTAGACCCACATTTTTGGACCCAAACTCTTAGTTAAAGAATATTCATGACCCAAATCTTTAGTGTTTATGCTAATTTTATATCCTTATATCCTCTACTTTTTCAAATATGGATTTTTATTAACCTTCTGCTCCAGAAGTGGACATGAAAAGAAAAATCATTGAAGAACCATGCTCAATGACGTTTAATATAGGAAATTAGCACTAGAGAGATTTTATCTTTTTATGAATTTCTAACAATTAGAGATAGAAGTTATCTGACAAGTCATGTCTTTTTATTCCCTCTAAAAGTGTCAGAAATTAAACAGGTAAAATAACTGATGAAAGTTAGACAGAAGTCAAGTGTTTATAAGCGTTTATATATTTTATATATTTTACACTTATATAATCGTTTATGTGATTTACTGGTTTTATTATACATTTTATTTTTCAGAAAAACACATACTGAACCCATACACTCTTATAGTCTAAATCCAAATCCGCTTTTCTCCACTTTGTTTCACTCACTGGTTCACTTTGAAAAATTTTTTACGCAGAGCTTTATGGTTTCCTTGGTAATAATATGATTAACCTAGTAAACATAATGCATCTGTATTACAGACTAAACATATTTTCCTGAATACTAATTGCAGATTCATTTATTATTCCAGTCAAAACAGAACAAAAAAAAGATTTGGGCTCTCAGTCCCCACACCATCTGCATTCTTAATGACAACAGAAATCAAGTTGGCACAAATCTTTTCTAGAAATGAGCTTTATTTTAGCAGGCAGTCATGTGATTAAATAAAACATTTAAAAAATATGTATCTTTGCAGAAACATGTTTTTCTAACATCATTTATAATGGCATAAATAACGGTATGTGTAATGAGAGTACATTTTATAACCACTGTATTTTGTTTCTTCATGTTAATTTAAAATAATGAGTCATAAACCTTAACAAAGTTTTTAGTTGGAAGGAATAGTTTGATAAGAGATGAGTCGTCTCTTGGTTACAGACTCAGTAAAACTTGCCAGGGAACAGTTGTTTCTACCATATTGTGCGTCCTCACTGAATTTTAGTGGTCACTCTGCTTTTTTTCTTTTTTAGAGGCTTGGCAAAACAAGCATTATTAAAGATAATGAGAACAACCTAAATGCACCAACATAGAAAGATACGTAAGACCTACTACACAGGAGGCCTGAGAAGTATAAGGAAAATGTTCTCATGGAATTAAATTTTTAAAAAAATAAGTGAAAGTCATGCACTGAGAAATTTTTATCTGCCCTTGATCAAAGCAATTGCATTTGGGTACTAAGCCAAAGTAGTCCTGCTTATACTACATGAGGGCGTCTATAATTACAGGAGCAAGTGGATTCAAACATCACAAAATTATTAGTACAGAAATTTTATCTGAAGGATTTAATGAGAGACTATATATTCGTTGTGACTTACAAAACTATTTGCATAGCAAATAGACCAGCCTTTGCTTCTAGGACCATTTGAATAGTTACAAATAGATAGTTACAAGTCAATATCATCCACCACCTTTCCTTGACTGTTGGGAGCCAGCCGAGGAGGCCTGCCTGAGTGTTAAGGATCCAGGTGGGCTGCAGAGCCTGAGACCACTAGGATGGGTTCAGGAGCTGATGGCCTATTCCCTCTTCCCTTCTTTGCTGTTTGGCACGTCCCACTAGCAGGGACCTTGATGATCTAAGCATGAAGGTCTCAGAGTATGACAGGCATGGCTTACTTTAGGAGTCCATTGTTCCCGTTTCCCACAGACTGCAGTTTTGGCTTTAAACTTAACATAATTCATAATTCAAACTCAGGTCACATTTGGGAGCCTTTAATACAGTACAAGCTTCTTTATAAGATTTAAAAGTATATTTGTAGAATTAGTATATACATATAAAGTGCTGTTTCAATCTTAATAATATAGTTAATTATCTAGAGTTACTAGAAATGGCCCAGCACAAACTTTGGGCTGGGCCACATCCCTTAGGAACTGGTTTGGGCTATAATTAAGAGTTTTTATAGTGTAGGTAGAATTAGCGTAAAATAGAAAGGAATTGGAATTTAAGTTGGTCATTAGGTGTTGTGTATGCATAAGTTTTAAAAGTTATTGATTAATAGAATATTATGATATTAGAATTGTGTATTGCTTTTGAGGAATACTAACCAAGCATGAGGAACAGTGAGATAATTTTGGATCCTCCTTCCTCATGCTTGAGGAAACACCTGGTGGGTGGGGGACATCCCTCATTAACCTGGCTTTATGTTTATGTAAAAGTTTTGTTGTTTAATTGGGATTGTTCTTCCTCATGTCTGAGGAAACACCTGGTGGGTGGGGGACACCCCTCATCCACCTGGTTTTGTGTTCATGTGAAAGTCTTGTGATTTAACCTGTGAAACTTTAGGATAAAAGGCTTATGGCTCATCCCATTAAACGGCTTCTGCACTAGACAGAGTCCAGTCTCTTTCTTTCTCCCCCGTCTCTCTCTTTCTTTCTCTTTATTTTTTCAGAATAATCACCAACGCTGCCACACCTCCCAGGGACCTTCTAAATCTCTTTGCAGGGGCTGGCCCCCCGCACTTGACCTTTTGAAAATCACATGATGCCTTGGCGGAGCCTTTAGTGGTTTTTTTCAAGTTATTCAAACCCATGGTAGAAGAGGAAGCATTTTTCTCTTGGTTCTACTGGTCCACTTACCTCAAACAATAACCACTTCTAAAGTTGCACACTGACAAGTACCACTAACCAATCAAAAAACATCCTTCATTTGGGGCACCGAGTGTTCCTTAACTCCTTCTTAGTGTTGAATGTATTTAATCACGACATGCCTATTTTGTTTTACTCTTTTTTGAACGATTACTATTGGTAAGGCATATGGTTACCTGCCTCTCTAATAAGGATTATTAACATCACGAGAGTGCTTACCTCGCTGTGAGCATCAGATCACTTGGGAAAAATTTAAAATAAAGATGTCCTCTAAAGAAAAATGTTTAAGAGTGAAACTTGGCATAGGTATATCTAAAAATCTCACCAGGTGATACAGAGGCACAGCCCTAGTCAAGAGAAATAGTATTTCTTTTGTCTAATATTTTAACTAAAAACAGTTGTTCATTAATATTTTCAGAAGTAACTAGAATGTTTAGTTTGAATAGTGTATTTATTATTTCAAGCAGAAGTCATATTTGATTGTTTTCTAGACTGCATTTTAACATTACTTTGAATGATTTTTATGGTCAATGTTGGTTACACATGGGACAATGTATTACATAAAAGCAGGAGATGGGGTTTTTTTTGCTGATGGCTAGATCTACATTTCTTAACCCAGTTTCAAACTCATAGAAGATGCTCACTAAATGCTGACTCGTGTAGCATCAGCTTTTGGATAACAGTTAAGTCAGTGATCTTTGGTAAGAGAAAGTTTCAATACAACAAGAAAATTTGTAAATTATTTCTAAAACATATTCCAGTCTTTACGATTAGCACAACAGCTTGTGATTTGCTCAAATGACATCAATTTGTAACT